CCCAGGCAGCCTCAGTGGACTACAGAGGCCCAGCCTGGAGCAAACATGATGGGGGGGGGCCTAGCAAAAGTTTGTGGGCAGCCTCCCTTTACATTTATTTACGTTACCATCAAGGCATGGCAGGAAAAATATTAAGGTGCTCTAGGAGCAGAGCGGGGCATGGTCACAGAGCCACCAGGGGATGTCACAGCCATCCCTGGGACCACGATGTGTTATATATACTTAAACAGGTAAAGCAAAGGGCAGGAAGGAAGTTTGGAAGTATGGAATAGCATCTAAGAGTCTGAAAATGCCTGAACTTTCCAGCTTGGAAAGGAGATGTCTGAGGGAAGATATGATAGAGATCTACAAAATCATGAGGAGTATGGAAAAAGTGAATGGGGAAAATACTGTTCACTGTCATTTGTACTGCAAGAACTAGTGGACTTGTCATAACTTGGCAACTATTTGGGAACCAACAGAAGGAAGCTGTGTTTGTACAAAAATATGTTACTTGAACTCATTGCTACTGGTTGTGTAGAAACTAGTAGTATAGTCGGGTTTGAAGAGATTAGACAAACTTATGAAAGGATAGGTTCATCACGGGTCATTAAACAACAGTTGGGGGAATGTAAGTGTCTGGCTCCGGGTATCTGCAACCCTATGATTGCTGGGGACTGGGAAGGTGTAACAGGTGATGGATGCCCCATTTCTCTTACTCCAAAGCACCTGCTACTTGCTGCTGATGGAGATTGAACCTTTAGCCTGATGCCGCATGGCATTCATGTTCTTGTGTCCAACCTTCCGATATTCAGCAGCACTTTGGGGAAATAACTGTTCACCCTTAAGGAATTCTGCCCTTTCTGCTCGTCTTTCACTTCTTTCCTTGCTAGTCTCTTTTTTTCCCCTCTCCTGCTTGGTTTTAATTTCTGCTCTTTTTTTTTTTTTCTTTGTTTAATTTCTTTTCATGTACCACTTTTTTGTGGGCATCCCTGTGCTTCTAACTATTTCATTGTTGGGGGAAGAGGGGGGTTGTTTGTTTTGATTAGTTGTTTTGTTTGAAGTTAAATGTGAATCCTTAAAACATCCATTAGTATTTTAGAGCTGATGCCCTCCTGATTAAAGATAGTTGTTTGGAAGGAGAATTGCATGTCTTAGTGCTTCTGCTCTGTCTACAAGTTTAGGCAGGTATCACTATACCAGTTACAATTGCAAGCCTGCCTTCCTGCCTGCAGAAATACATTTTAAAATGAAAATGCTGAGATTCTGGGCAATCTGAATGTTTTGTGGCTGTGTATCTTTTAGGCTACATTCAGTACATGGGCTAGTCCTCTCTTCCAAGAGGAACTCTGTTTAATTCACCTTCTTAGATCTTTGTTGTGAAGACTTTATTTTCTTCCATTCTTGGATTCCTGAAGTGCTATGAATGTACACAGTTGTTGGGCAAAAGTCAGTGGGAGATTTGCCTAGGGTGGGTATTTGACTGATCAGATATTTTAAGCATCAGTTTATTAGAACTGAGTACCCAGAGTGACTCGGAGTTACAAAATTACAGAAAGAAAAAAAGAAATTAAGGAGAAATTGACCACACACACACAAACTACAAAAGGGACAAGTCAGATTTTAAAAGGCAGCAGACCAACTTGTCAAATATTTTGCTGTTTCTATATAGAGATGCCTGCAGTCTCCAAAGATGACCAGTAAGGAGATGCTTTTCTGTGTTTGCTGGTTTTGTGTTTTCCCTCAGCACAGAGTAGCTTAGTTCAGGGAAGGAGAAGGAGACTGGAAGAGTTCCAGAGAGGAGCAGGGCAAGGGAATGCCTGCTCCTATATGGAGTGTGGGTGCATGTGTGTTGTCCCCTTACTTCAGCAGGACTGAGGGTCAAGAAGCCCTCACTCCTGCCCTTACTAACAGATGACACTGAGATTCAATACAGGGCAAGGTATGCTGTCACCTACACAATGGCTTTTTTGGTTTCATGGTATATTTGACCATTTTTGCCTGCTGTCGATTGTCAGATCAACTGATGTTATTGCACCGGTCAGTTGACTGGCTTTCCATAGTTTTGCCTGAGAAATGATTGCAAGATTAACAGGATCTCATGTATAAAACCAGTGAACTGTTATAATAGAACATCCTTCCTAAAGCACATGTTTTTTCTCTACCATCAGGCATGGGGAAGTCTTTTTCTCACGTGCCATTACATACGTATAAAGAAGATGGCTCCGATGGAGGAACAGGATCAGAAAATGTGAGGAATGGGTTAGTTCACTCAGAATCCCATGCGGAAGATGGAAGAAGTGGGGATGTATCACAGTTTCCATATGTGGAATTTACAGGAAGAGACAGTGTCACCTGCCCTACTTGCCAGGGAACAGGACGAATTCCACGTGGTAGGTACCGTAGATAAAAGTAAATTTAAAATTATGCATAAATGTAAGTAAAATCACTGTAATTCTGTAATCAAAATTACTTCTGTGTTGTTTTCATGCTTGGTCTGTCTCTTGGGAATGAATCAACCTTTAATAAATTACCCTTTTAATCTTTTTATCTAAGAAAATAAGTGAGGAGCTATTCAGGTTGGTGTGTTCTTAATACTCCATCTACGTGGGTATTCTACCCCTTAAGAAACTTTTAAAAATTTCTTAGCATGGTTACTCTGCATTTTCTGTTGCAGTAAATATTTTAATATGATTAACAACTGCAGTGTTATTCCCTCCTCTCCAAGCACATCAAGCTATTTTGAAGTCATACAACTTTTTTTTTTCAGTCACTGAGTAGTAAATTACTGGGATAACTTTGGAAAAATGTATGATAACTGACCACTTTCATTATTACTATATTATTCATTACCTTTTGTTACTGTATTTTGGGATGCACTTTGCCATTTTCTGTTCTTCCTGGGAAAGGTGCCATTTGCTTCTGTACTGGAGCTCCTGGAAGTATTTTTGCCCTGTATCCCAAATATAGTGGCTGATCAATAGGATGAAAGAGAATAGAACTTCATTGTATGCTGATGCAGTCTTTTTTTCATGTGACATTTCGTGGAGGTACCGTTTTTTGCCCCAATACTAACATTATTTGTAGGCTAAGTCTGATAATTTAGCATTTTTATCTGCATGTGTCTTTAAACAGCTGGGTGTGTACTGCTTTGATAATATTGGCCACCAACAGTGTGCATACATTATTTGTCACAATATAATGAATTATTTTAAGCCATGTTCTTTGTTGCAATGTCTCTGTGCCATTTGGAAAACTCAGTTTTAATTTCTGAAATTACCTGTTGTTTGCCTGATTTTAAATAGACTAGTAGATGCTTATATAACAAGTAGGCATTTGTCAGCAAAATCTATTAGTTCAGTAATAGGTTTGAGGGTTTGGGTTTTTTCCCCGTTTCCTGGCAACAGTAAGCATGCTTATGAAGGAAAAATATTTCTTCTAATGCTAGTTATGTAAGGTAACATGTAACAACAGCACATGACCTGAGAGAACCTAGTGAGTACGAGTAATCAATTGAGCAGGTTTTAAAAGAAACTGTTCCCCATGTGATTGCCTCCCACCCGCCCAAAACAAAAAACAAAGTTTATTTTGTATTGATTTCAGCATGTCAGAAACTCAGTTGCTAATTATCTTAAGTAAAATAAGGTAAGATGCTAGTAATTGTGTGTTAGGTATCATGGTTTTTTTTGTTGTCCTTATGGCAGTTAAAATAATTCTGACTTTTTTTTTAATCTAATTCTATTCTGGTGAACTATGTATTACTCTTCTAAAATAACAATTTTTTGTATAAATCAATGGAAGGTGCTTCTAACAGATGTTATAAATGCATCAAATGTAATGGTTCACTGAACTTTCACAAACTCAGCTGGAAGTTTGCCAATTCATACTAAAGCATTCCTGCTGCAGTGAGATGAGGCAAGGATATTTTGGGGTGGCGATATGTTTTATTGGACTAAATGTATAGTTTTAAACAAGCTTTCTCAACTTTGGTAAGTGGCAGTCACCTCTTGAATTTAAGTAGCAGGACAATGTTCTGTGTAAAAAAAAAAAAAAAAAAAAAAAAAAAAAAAAAAAAAAATCTGTTTAAAGGAATGGAGGAGGGCTCCAAAATAGGAGGAAAAAAATGTTATCAGGAGATGAGAAGTGAAGTAAAGGAAGAGGTAAGAGACTGAAATACAGAGGTAGATGAAGTCAATATCTGTATCTAGTCACTAGTTTTAGTGTCCAGTCAGGTAATGAATTTGGATGACTTGTGCAGTAAGATATAATTGCAAATCTGAGTGTAGTCTGTGGAGTGGGGGTTTTGGTTTTTTTAGGTATTTCACTTGAGTAACTCCAGTTTTCATAGTGCAGGCCGTAAGTGTGCGTGCTGGTGAGAACCATGATTAGAAGTGTGGCTTTGAGAATGTGGTTATATTCTGGATCTTGAGGAACTCTGTGTATTGTTTAAAAACAAAAAAAAATCCCTTCCTCTTGTGTGAGTTCATGCCGAATTATATAAGGACTGAATTA